GGAAGAAAAGAATATATAGAATATATAGAATATAAGTTACGTACTGAAAAGCGAATTGACTGGAAATTTACCTTTTCCTCTGAAGTATCCAATGTGTCCTGATCTTCCCTTCGTGACCCCTTTCTGATCCACTACTACACCTTGGGCACTTTCAATGTGGTATGTTTGCTGCCTGTTTTCTGGAATACCATATTAAACATATTATTCAGACGTTCATCGTTTGCAGAGTTGATCATCACGTTCAATGTTTATAGCTTGACTGATGCGTCAGACAGGTTATGACTGTATGATTGTATGACAAAAGCGATGACTTCAATTTCACAATGGTCAACTCTCCTCAGTTTTCGAACAGATGAACATTCTGCCGCCGGTGAGACAGGACACTTCCACCTCTCACGGCGATTCATAAACACATGCCCTTGGTATATGTAGAGTGGGGATCCTTTAGTCGGGTCTGTAGCATGTGGTAAGGCTCTATGTATAGATACAAGGGTAACCGTAGGAATTAGCATTGTGATATAGAAAGATGTGCTCTAGCAAATCAGTAAACTCACCAATAGATCCCATTTGACCTTCATTAATACCGGAGACGACAGAATTGTCTACCTGAGCATCACCCTTGACACCCGTCACTTTCATTTTGCTGATATCTGTGAATACAGTAAACATGTCTCAACAATATATGTACAACTTGGTTTTATAAGCATTTAATTCTATTCCAAATAGAATGTGTTCCTGATGATAGGTAAGACTGGGTATTTTTGCACTGACGTTTCGTATTTAAATAAAAGTGACAAACTTTATTTCCTATAATCGTGTAGTGTACAATTAAGAAAGAACATAAATGATCTGCAAATCCACATGTACATGACAGTAATTTAATGTCTCTCAATTTCCTGCTGTGAATACAAAATTACACATTTAAAAACAAATGACTTATCAGGTTATTCTATTGAAGAATTATATGTCGCGGCACAAATTTCCTTTAACTTGAGCAAACGAAAGAGGGATTAGTGGGTTGTCAGCGCTGACGTCGAATCGAATGAGGGATAAGTGAGAATTCTTCCACCACTAATATACATATGCTATATTAAATGTTTATATTCAGCATAACTCTGAATGCCCTTGTGCTGTAATGATCAATCTCAAAGTAAGAACGATTTCCCCAAACATAACAATACATACCTTTGTGTACTTGAAGCCCTTTGCCACTACCTTGAATTCCACACGTGAGTTTTTAACTTTTGCCTTTCCTTTTACGCCTGTCAAAGTAAATTCTGCCATTTTCACCTGCAATCTAAGAGATCATCCCCATTATGACTACAATGGGATACAACTTACTGGCTGTACTGAATCTCATTATCCGTAGCTCGATTTGCACTGTAAGCAGATGAATATTGGACAAGTATCGGCTTCAGATGCCAGGAATAGGATGTCACCAGGAGCCGTGTCACTAAACTTTGTGCTTGAAGTATATTTAGTTCAACAATTGTCAATAGAAGTATATACATAATGCCCATGACATCGTTATAAGTGCTTTGATTCATTCCTGTTTTACTTAATAATAATTAATAATTGGTGTTTGCATTGCAGTATGATATTGAGAAATCAAACATGCAAAACTACGTGTCAGAGACAATCTTAACGACTTTATAATTATTCGGACATTATATCCACATTAAACCTCTTAATAAATGCTTCATGATTTAGCGGATTTGAGTAAAGAATTATGAAGTATTACTTTTAGTGGGACAAATATCCTTGACGTGTGGTCTACTGTAGGCTTCGCAATGTGAGTGAAGCCTTTGCTATTGGAATTATCGATGTATGACATGGACATATATTTACTTTGATGACGTAGATCTAAAATTACAATTCTCCGGGGAGGCAAGTGCCATATACAGGAAAACATTACCTCCAACAACAACCGCGGATACAGTTTCCATTGTTTACAAGATACCATTCACACCAATGTATACAATGGGATTAATACAAGTGTAGCTGGTTCTGAGAAGTGTATTATGTATTCAGTACTTAGATCTAACTCCATGAAACACTGAATGCATTTATACTCATATTTGTGGAAACTAATTATAGAGTCTAGGGTTTGGTGTGGATCAGTGCCAAGTGGTTGATAACAAGATCTGATGCACCAGTAACTCTGTGCGTTACATTACACGGGTGCACATATGCAGTCATGGGTTCACATGAAGTATGGATTTTCCATCTCACACGAAGCATATATTAATGAGGTCAGAGAAGCTGGGTATTCGTTGCGCTGACTCAATTCTAGGAAACTTTAAATGGGTGTCTTCTGTTATCAGATTATAATTATATAATACGTCCGTGTTTCGAATGAATCGATTTCCAGGACAGACATGCGTAGAGGAGGTCAAGTTTTAGATAACAAGAACTGGTGCACTCGTTCAAACTTACAACAGCAGTAATTGAATTCACTATGTGTTTTCCGTTTGTGTGAGGCTAGAGGGTGAGGACTTTGATTGTTGTGTATGTCTTGTGTCATATTCAAATATTCTATTGTTTTGCGGTTTCTCTCTCTCTCTCTCTCTCTATATATATATATATATATATATATATATATATATATCTCTCACTCTCTCTCTCTCTGTTTTGTCTGTCATACTTTCATACTACCATTATGATAATTATTTACTTTTTATAACAAAATAGATACATTATAAATGCGGCAAGTATACAAATGAGGCTTCAAATCATCTGTATTTCTCTTTCAAAGTCATTGGATACTGCCTGCGGCAGCATGAAGTACATTGCAGTAAACATAACGCGGCGTACTAAAGTACTCTCGGAAATAGGAAAACATGTTTTATCGCATTTATAAGTGCAGTTTATATAGGTAATATGTTACAGTATGAAATATCTGTTAAACTACGTTCGGCCTAACTACAGTCTCTCTGGCAGGGAGATAGGAAACGAAGACAAAAGGACTTTACTGAGGAGAGATTAGTGCAGAAGTGAGTAATGCGGGGATTTTTAACAGACCATGGCTTTATGCAAAATTAGTGTGCGATGATATTGTATTACAAAGGACACTTGTTAAATGCCCTTAGCTCAATTATAAATGATAACTGACGTACAAAATAATAACTTTAATACTGAAACTATTGAGGATGTAGCTACCACGGAGTCTCACTATCACTATATAAAGGAACAGGTAAGAGGGGTCGCCTCAAAAGCAAAACCAGGACGGGTGTTGCAGACGGTGGTTGGGGTCGCGCTGGGTGATTGAGATATCAGCTGAGATAAGATTTCCTTTAGGGGAATTAAAGTGGGGAAGTAAACGGCATGTCATAGCAATTTACAAATAAAAGCCATTCCTGTCGAACTTCGGGTGTTCATGTCACATTTAGACATTTTATGCGATGGCTGATTAAAGCTTTTCTATGGGTATCACACCCTTTTACATATCTCAACATAAACATTATGAAAGAAAGACACGTAAGATGTTAATCAATAGATGAGACATCTTCAACACGCATGAAAAAGAATGACATATCGTTGAGATGACCCATTGTGCCTGTAGGCAGGACACGCATTTCATGCAAGGTGAGTCGACGGTCCATCTTAGTCCATCGTCATACCCGGTTGAGAGACCTAATTGCCATCTATAGTCTGATCTATTGTTTTCAGCAGCTATTCGTAATTTTTCTGGGTTTTGCCCGATTTTACGAGTAAATATGACTTTCTAGATATCCTATTACGCATCCCACTGAACGCCCAGTTAGGCCGATGTCGGTTATTTCGACATATGCTATATGCAATTGTGTAAATTTTAAGGATACAAACTAACAGACTAAAAACAGTTGTTGTTTTTTTCGATTTCCGACAGTACTTTATCATATAAGTACGTCCATCTGTACAGGTAAACTTCAGTGGTGGTTGATGCCGGTAGGACAAGACCTGTTTACCCTTCTTAACGAACACATGCCATATTGTAATGAACAATAGCCTACAAGCATCACTCACATGCAGCCACTGTAGTCGTCACAACTTGCCCATTTGCCCTTTGACCATGATGCCCCATTTACCATGTAGTGAAAATGTCACGGCACGCTCAAAAAACAACACTTCGACCCCGGACACCAACAGTGGCATGTGCAGCCGTTACAGCAGAATGTCAGTGAATTTCAGTGATCTGTTCGACACCTATTTTGCCTTTTGCACCCAGATTATCACCGTCGGATAATGGAGACGATACACGGAAGCGTAGTAGGCCCCTGGTGAAAATTGTTTAAGTTTCATTATCTCCTACGTAGGTCATAGTATCTCCTACGTAGGACTTAGTATCTCCTACGTAGAAATTATTAAGTCCTACGTAGGGCAGATGTTGAAGTTAGGTACTCTACATTACACCTATATACTTAGTTGATTCCAGTCGTCGTTGTTCCCACCCTCCCACTTAACGCTGAACTGACGTAGCGCCAACAAATGACGGAACAGCACTAACATTCCGTCCAGTTTATAAAGAGGTATGCATGCTCCATAATAAGGGGCCATTGAAATAATTATTAGCGAAAGTTGTGCATGCGAGGGCAGGAACAGCGCGTCTGAACTGTCCCACTTTGTCTACAGCAATGTCTCATCACAACCGCTGCCACTGAGGTCTCAACCTTCTCGTCTTTGAGCATGACGTAGCACCGAACGTCAGCCATCATTGCAGATAACAATAAAGTACTAACAAAACTTTCCCAAATGTTATCACAATATGACAAATGAGGGATAGGTGACGAGTTCTTAGCTAAACTACCAACATACAGTGGTAACTGAGTGAATGCTGTTTCTGGGCGCAAACAGCAATATTCACTTTACTGTTGCCTGACAATATTATTGTCAAAGAAACACCAAGTGCCATGCAAGCCCCAAGACACCACACAAAAACTAACAACTCCATATATTTCTAATTGTCACCAATCAAGCTTGAAAAGACAACAGGGCTGATTAAAAAGTGATACTTTCGTTTATGAGAAATGAGTACTTTTTATTAAAAACAAAACATCATTTGATGATGATAGGATGCATAATAATACTTTGTATGATTAAAACAAATATTACTTTGATGTGATGAATGACATTCAATATCACTTAATACTCTGGTACTTTCAGAGTTCATGTTTCATGCCATGCACACTGTTAAAAGTTTAAACAGAGTCAACCCGAAATGTGACCATCAATTAAGTAGTCAACTGGATTATTTCGAACTTTTTTCCAGAATTGTTTTTATCTTCATTTTATCAAGAGGTGACGTAATACCTAGCGCATCCAAAACGCCGTCTTCCAAAAGGTTCACGAAGTATTTGCCATCAATGCCGTTTTCCTCAAATTTCTTCCGTACTGATTCAGGAAAACGTTCTCTTATCATCCGATTCTGAACGTCTTCGACTGTCATCAGCTCGATGTCTGGACCTGGAAATGGGACCAAATGTTTCCAAATGCACATATTCGTTCAAAATTTGTCAAGCATAAAAATCAGTTGGATGGATGGATGGATGGATGGATGGATGCATTCATGCCTGTATGAGTGTATGTATGTGTGTTCGTGCGTGCGTTCGTGCGTGCATACTTGTGTGTGTGTAATTAAGCCATCACAGGGTACGCTGACATGCTATTAACTAAATGGGGGTAAATGGGAGATAACTACACTGTGATCATTTCTGTAAGACCACTAAAAATAATTTCTTGTTTGTCATTTTATATTGCTTTTTTAATTTTTAAACAACTTCTCTGCCCGAAAGGTGATGTATTAAATGCTTTGATCACTCATTATATTTATGAGTTTCATGCCAATGAAGTTAAGTTCTGATAAATTTCGGAAACTTAATTTAGGGGATAACTGTACTCTGTTAAACGGATTGGGGAGGTATACCGGTGGTTATATAGCAGAAAATTTAGTTATATCGGCGACGCGTAAACAGTTATTAGAAATGAGCGGGCCGCTGCAAATGACAATGGCCCGCTGATTCCTCAACGACGGGCCATTATCAGGTGTGTTGTCCAATGAGGCCACAGCAAGTGACGTCACGGTCCATAATGACGTCATAAATCTTGTTACATGATCTAACAGTGTTGGGTCAACAGCCCGTTGCGAGTTGTTTGAAGTAAACTTACAATATAATAATTTATGATGCTGTTTTGAATTTTTACATCCATGTTAGCGGAATAGGGGAGTCAACAGGCAGAAGGCATTTGCAAATGATAATGCCCTGAAAAACAGCGTTACCCTAATAGTGTAAGCATACATTCAAAGGTTTTGGTGAATCGGTTTTCAAATTGCGACCGTATATGCTGATTAAACATATTATGATCAGATCTCATTCAATAATAGGGGTACATGTATGTGATGTGTGTAAGTATGTGATGTGTGCATGTATATAATGTGTGCATGTATTAATGTGTGTACGTATGTATGTATATGTGTGTGTATCTGTATGTATGTCAGTGTATATATATATATATTTGTAGGTATGTTTGCGCGTGCGTGTGTGCGTGTGAAGGGGCGAGCGCGTCTTAGTGTATGTAGGTGTCTTCTGTTCACGTGTACAGACAAGGTCAACATTGTAAACTTTCAAAGTAGTGTATATATTATTCCCTGAGGTGGCAATATCATAGGAATCTGTCAGGGAGACGTCTTACCTCTTGTGCCTCTAGTCGGGCCACCGACTGAAGCAGACATAGCCCCGCTGTGGTTGTCACCTGTGGCGATATTACCTATATTACCCTTGTTTGTGATGCTTAGACTTCCTGGAATGACAGAAGTTAAATTGTATTAATACAGCGTTGGGATGGAATATAATTCTTAGTACTTTAAGTATTCATATATACATTTCTACGGGATCATTAACCAGGCATGATTAACACATGGTTGTGATATTTGGATCATACAATGAGCTGTCTATTGTAACAAAGATTGCTCATGATTATGAAAAGCACTTGCGCTTTTGTTGATAATTATCCAATAAGTAAAGTATGCTCATGCCAATAATGGTTGTCATCCCCTTCAATTTTTTTAATTGGAGAGGGGGTGTGGGGTCGGGTGTGAGGTGTGCGTGGGGTTAGGGTGGGGAGAGGGCTGACAACCATTATTGGCATGAGTATATAAATGGCAGCATAATTATTGAAGAATGTATTTCCAAATAAAGTCTCCGTGTCTTGTCACATATCACCTTATCGGTATGTTTAATCGTGTAGACCTTATCAAGAAACATCTCAGTGACCACGTGAATATGATACAAACACTCTTGACACATAAACTAATTTAGAGATCATGAGTACTGTATGAGTTGACAACCTTGGTTGTGGTTGGTCGTGACGTTATGACCCATCCCGCCGTGGACGATACCAGCAACATCGGGCCGTTCCACTGTGCCTCCTCCCGCTGCAGTGACCGTGATGTCATGCGTGGACATTTTGTAACCTGAATGAACAAACATGAAAAGCAATAGGACCAATTCACCTGGTAGACATTAGAACATGTTTCCATCATGACATTTCATCTTCTGGCTTACAAGGACGGACTTTGACACTAATCATTAGGAGAACCGGAATCAATACCATTTTGATTCTATACTTCCCATCAAAAGTTTAGACTCACTAGTGTAAATATAGCCACTTACTTCAGGCAACTGTTCTAAACTAGATCTTGCAAACTATTCCACACTGTTACTGTTTACACTTGATCTGATGTATTGTAAAACAAGTTTGTAACGTTGAAAAGATTTTTTCCATGAGTTCAATAAATGATAAAAATTTCGGTGAAAATTGGCGAATGCTTAACAAAATTTTACGCCAAAACGCAACTGTTCACATGCACGATATTTGCACATGCTTTTCACCAATTTGATGCATGATCCTCGTACAATTCATCTGCATAAGGTTTGCAGTTGGTTACCCCAAGTTAGTGGAGAAATCAATCTTCGATGTAACCATACATATATGCATAACATATAGTGAGTGTTTTCAGTGAGTCAAGATGGGAAGTATAATAAAATCAAAAGTTTGAACTGAATTCTTATCATCACTGAAATCTTCATCACATGATCCATTGGGCAAATGTTCATAAAAGTGGCGAGCATAGATACTTCCATATCTATCTTCAAAGACTCAGAACATATTTTCAGAAATGAAAGCAAGTGTGTTGTGAAGTTGTGAAATGCTAGGTGTTAAGTGAGACCGCCTCATGAGCTTCTTAATTAGATCTAGGCAGATTCAGAGTGGCAAAAGTCTCCCCACAGAGCTGTATGGCACGGGCAATATCTTCAACAGCTTCAGAGTACTGATGTTAATATTCACACAGTTTGATGTGCAATCCAGCATGGTCTTTTAACCAAGTGTTTCTGAGAAATTGTTTGATCAAAGTTGAAACAGCCATGTCAGGTTTCCTGGTATACATATGGAGGGCATTTCAATAACACACCTGTGACCAAAATGAGCATTAGCTCATGATTAACTTAGTGTTCAGATCATTTTGAGGAAAGGTTTCTTTCTTTCTTTCATTTTCAATCGTTAGTTTTTACAACAGCGAACAATTAACCTTCTGACAATGGATTTTAAATATATCTGAAAATACCACCTAATGTACTTCCTTCAGATTCCTCCATACTCCTGCTTATTGCAGTTCTTCGATTTGTGATATATGGTGTCTACAACAGTCACCCTTTTTCTGAATGTGTTTCGGTTTTCAATTCAAACATTTTAATACATTTTCTTTACAGTTTACGGCTTCAAATATAACTTTTGACAATATGCAAAACGACTTGTTCTTTTTTGTTCATTGCGTTTTAGCTTTAAACAACAAGAACGCCCAACTGTAATACACTTGCATCTAGCCTATTCATAAAATGCACATTTATTCGGGTATAGAAAGATTGTAAATAATGTGTTCTATTACGAATATTGCTCTATTTGCTTTAGATAATAAGAACGCCAAACCGTAATACACTTACATCTAGCCTATTCATAAAATAACATGAGTGCAACACAGGATCAGTTTCGTTATTATTTTCAAAATCGCATATTTACATTTATGATATAACATAGAATCGGCAATGGGGTTTTCTATACAAATTAGATACAATGCTTTAACAATCTTATGGAAGAAGATTCGTGTGTTGTGTCACACATTATAAGTTGTAGTAGGTCATAAGATGGCGAAACAAACCTACGTTGATGCCTATGGCCGTTAGTGTTATGGACCTTTCTATCGCCTACCCTTCGTTAAGTACAATTACATAGTGACATGGATCGATTTATGGTCATATTCCCGGAGAATACAAGTGACGTCATGACATGCCTTTACCTTACTATTGGTTGATTATTCATAGATAATAGGGAAGTTTTTACGTTTCCTTTTCCGAGAAAAGGTATGGTTATGTGGGTTGATATCAGACTCACACGAAACAGGATGCGTGTAAGGCTGTTGTGAATTTAACACACTTTCTAAAATGGCATTGTGTATTGCATAGCTTTCGGCCGTGGGAGCCGTGCCAATTAACACGTATCAGAGGGGTACACAAAGTCCGCAGTCTACACTACCAGTTGTCCGACTTCCACTGTTTGTGGAAGCCGCGGTGGCTGAGCGGTCTAGGCGTTTGACTTTGTGTGTTGGCGATTAGGTGGCTGAATCTGAGAGTGTGGGTTCGAATCTCGGATGGGACTCAACCCAAAAAGTACTAGAATCTGTGCTTTACTAAGAAAATGTAATCCCAAATATAACATATCTTACATTTGACCACTTTTTAAAATGGCATTGTGTATTTCAAAGGTGGAAGTGGGTTTTCATCAAGGTGAAGCCTTCGTCGCACTAAGATAACACAAATTGAATACTTTTGAAGATAGAGAGAGTTGTTTGGTATAGAGGTTCACCGAAGATTTAAACGAATAAGAAATATTACATAGTAACGTTAGTACACTCCTTCAGACATTTTTGCTGACCATTTTATGTGCGTGCTCCCAGCAGAATCTCTTTCTGTGGACTTTTTCTAGCGTTAATTCCTTCTGTTAGTTATCATGACAATTTGGGACGTAACTGCCAAAGAGTTCGCTACTTTAATATTGTGGGAAGAAACATAAAACAAGGTTATTTTGGAAAGTGGGATCTCTGGGCGCGCGCATGTGTGTGTGTGCGTGCGCGCAGGAATGAGTTCAAACTTCAGTCAGTATATGGCATGTCATTGATTTATCACAAATCCTTTGAAGGGATATTATTAAAATATATCAAAGCATTACCATTATCATTTTGCATCGAGATATGACATACATTTACTACATATAAACGGTACTCACGACGCAGTACTATACAGGTTTTTGTTTGTAGTTGAATATTAATGATGACGGTGTAGATGCTGCTTTTACTTCAAACATTAAAAGCACACATTTGATTTTGTGGTTCAAATACTGTGTTTATTACATTAATAGGACATGTGATGACTGAGTGCTAAATGTACTATTTATGATCAGGTGAGAAAGAATGACTGGGGACCAAAGCCAGGTCAGTTTATTAAAGCATTAGCATCATTTACATGAACAGTGAATAGTACATGATCTCCAGTCGAGATGAGTCAACAAATATACTATTTCGGAAGACATTTCTTCAGATTCAGTATTTTCTTCCTTTCAAAGGATTCGCCAATCCCGAAATCTATAAGTTCACCATCTGTGAGCTGAGACAATAGATCCCCATCAATACGATGTTCCTGGAATAGTGGGGTGTGTTTCGCTAGGTTCTTCTCTCGCAGAAGACCAACAATGTCTTCTTCAGTGACGTCAGAAAGCTCTGAAAATGTAACCACATGTGTAAATTTATTTCCTAATTGAGACCATATTAACCAACACAATGTTTGCTTACGTCGAAGTTTTATTGTTGGTGTCAAGGTTTGTTTCGATAGTTTTATTAATCTGCATGTACATATACATGATCTTTTTTTAGTTTCAATATAAAAGTGTGCATAATTGCGATTGTAAAACGTTCGAGTCTTTAGTATGATACACACATAGTTCATAATCAGTTGGCACCTAATGCAGTATTGATCATGGAAGAAAAGAATATATAGAATTGATTTTTTCTAGACAAAGTGGAATATAGTTCCACGTCGACTATTGACAAATATATGCCAAGGAATCAACCTAAATGCATGACAGTTGCACCACAGAGTGTGCGCAGACATACATTTATCTTAACCTAAATAGGAAAATCAGGCCTACTTGTCGATGCTGCTTGAGACGCTGGTTGTTGGGTGGGATTGCTGCCACTGCCAATGTTGACCGTATCCCCTGTGACCTCATTGACGGTCGTCACCCCTGAACTTCCGCTCACATTATTGTGAAATGTCTTTTCAGCTGAAAGAATATTGGATGTTTTACAAACAAAGCAAATACAGCCACGAAACACATTTTTATTGTTTGCTACAATTATTGAAATGATGTAAATTTTGTTTTCAGGCATGACAGATATGCATGGTGGACATTTTGTAAGACGTGATGTCTGTGCTATTTCGTCACATACGTAGAAGTGAGTGAGTGAATTTTGTTTTACGCCGCGCCGCTTCGGCGTGACGGGCGAACGCTTTAACCACTAGGCTACGCCACCGCCTACATGACATACAAAATAGACCGCCTTTAACAAACAAAATAGTTACCATGTTGCTGTGGGGCATGATAGGTGTTGCCCATTCCCCCTTCAATCTGCCCCGCCACATAGCTGTTGGTGGCCTGCCCGCCAGTCATCCCGATTATACGCTGAGGTTCCCCCTTTTTCTCCATCTTGTTTTTCCAACTGAAGAACAGAAGAACTCTTCTATAGTATCTACTACTACAATGTAACCAGCAGCAATTGCCACACCTTCTGTTCACTGTACTATGATAATTACAAGACTGACATAACCTGGTATTCTTGTCTCGTGTGTTTGTTGACGATGTATTCCTATGACAACTATGGGAAAGTCCAGATCAGTGCTATTAATACATCGGAAATAAACAATGACGTCATTCCCTGGGAATTCATAAAACCCCTGAAGCTTGAAGAACCAGGATGAACACGAGAATTATGTATGTTACACCAGAAATCAACCCTTAAGCGTTCACGTTTGAATATCTGTGTAATGCAAGCGTTAGATCTGATTCAGTTTACCTAAGTTAACTTATGGATATATACAAGCTGTGTGTGTGGGGGTGGGGGTGGGGGTGGGGGTGGGGAGTGCTGTCAGTAAAACGGGACAAAGCAAGGGATTGAATGTCATCGCTGTGCTGAATGGCTGTGGTTAGGCTACCCATTACACACGCGGTTGGGTGGTGAACGGGTACGACTCGGGGTCTGCCTCTAGAACGCCTGACCTCAATTGAGCGTCGTCTATTATGTATTGTTAACCCCCATTCCAATCTCGCCCCGTCATGCAACGCAAGTGTACAGGATAGTCGATGTCAACCCTGTAAAAAGTTATCAAATCCACGCATGTGCTATGTCCTTTTCAGTTGTTTACATTATGTATGCCTGTCCCCAACACGTCAAAGTTTACAGTCTACGTACGACATATAGAACTGTCTTTAGACGCCATTGTCACACGGGGTCAACGATACGTTGTGTGGATACTCACCTCAGGAGACCGCCGCAAAGGCTGATATGTATCTACAAAACACAATGACATTATCCTATCTGCTGTCTGGAAAATATACCAAGGGGTCAAAGAAGTTTGATAACAACGAACACAACAACTGTGTTATACGCACACAGTGTTTATACCTCACAGACACACGACAATCGAAGTTTTTTGTGTACATCATAACACAAATATGTGGTAAGGGACCGTTCGTAATTTATGGCTACAGTGGGTGATGATGATTTTAAGGGGCGTGGGGGGGATGTTCACACATTTTGTTCTAGGGAGGTAGGGTGGTCAGCAATTTTGTACATATACTAGCGGGGGTCCTCAATTTTGTACTTAAACATATTACAATATCATGCTTAAAAAATATAGGAAGGGGGAGGGGGGACTAATTTGGTACATGACATGCAGGGGAGTCACTTACTTTGTATATAAAGTTCAGGGGGGGGTAATTCACATTGTACATGATTCTCCTTTAAAAAATAGAACTAGGTCAGCCATCGAGTCCTTCGGCGTATATATTAGCCGCCAGTGTATGTGTATATGTAAACTGCCGGCCAATAATAAATATATGATGTGAACTAACTACCGTATTTGCATTATATTTTGAGTTACAAAATTTTGATGAACAGCAATATGTGATGAAATGCACCGTTATGAGCATGCCTGCATAGGGCACGTAATATCAAGTGTTGTACAGTGATATATCTCCGCTCTAGCGGGCACTTGGTATTCAGTTGCTTTGATCGCTGATCTTAAAAGAGGTCAGTGGATTTCATTCAGATCAACACTAAGTTTTGCATTGATGTAGCTTCATTCGTGTTAATGCGACTAAGCAACATGGCGCTAATGGGATGTCATAATGAAACATATTTGTTATAGATGCGGCGTGGCCAGTGGGAAGGAATGAACCTAGTAATGAATATCCTGACTTGAGTCTATATGTTCAAGGAATATGTCAACTTTTCTACAATCAATATTTTCTTCCTGAGTCCCCTTTACATACAAAAGCAGACACCCAGGATAGTGCTTGGTCCAAATCAGATGAGAAGGAAAGGCAACACTAGAACAAACAAGGTAGATAATACCTCAGCATAAAGTACAAGGTTATTATTATGGACAGTTCATGTGCAAATCCTGATGAGGTTCATATTCGAAGTAAGGTATTATGGACTCTAATAGGTAGGGCTTTTTTCAGTTTTATTACTGACTTAGACACTCATTCACACACATCTTCACTCACACTCTCCTCTTACATAACCATATTTAATATAGACACTTCTAAATATAAATTTAAGCAATCAAGAATTTGTGTACTCATTAAATCACGATCACTGAGCTTCGGCGTATCTACATTAGCATATCTACATCTCATGGTACAGCATCCACTTGGTATAGAACATAGCTTGTTGACTTTTGATATAAGTAATATTTCTCTCAATGATAAGGCTGTTGTGGGCATAATGTTTAAAGTGTTTGCAGTTTAGGGTTGTCAGCATATACATTTCCTTTCGTGGAAGGTCAAATTTCAATTCTAATTCATTTCAGTATGAAACACGAGTTCTGATAGGTCAATGCTATAAATTTCCGACCGTATAACAGCATATACGGTCGCAATTTGAAAACCGTTTCACCAAAACCTTTAAATGTATCCCTACACTATTGGGGTAACGCTGTTTTCAGGGCATTATCATTTGCAGAAGCCCTAGGTATGTTAACTCCCCTATTTCGCTAAAATGGATGGAGTTTGTGTCGAAAAGACAAAACAGTATCATAAATTTAATTGTAAGTTTACTTCAAACAACTCGCAACGGGCTGTTGACCCAACACTGTTAGATCATGTAACAAGATTATGGAGCGTGACGTCACCCGTTGTGACGTCATTTGACAAACACAACTGATAATGGTCCGTTGTTGAGGAATGAGCGGGCCATTGTCAATTGCAGCGGCCCGCTCATTTCTGATAACTAGAGGGCGGTTTCATGATAATTCCGTCCATTTTAGCTTTAACACTATGACTTATTCATCATTGTCAGATTAATCAGTGTGCACATAATACACGTGTTTAAGTTTGAAAAGTGAACTACTTTTCTGGCGATCGTGTAAGTTCAAGGAGTGATATGATTAACCTTTGACCTAAAGGAACTTTGACCTGGTTTAAATAATGAATTTCTTTCACAAAAAAACAGCGTAAAAAGAGTTGATTTAGAATTAGGATAACTCGCCGATATAACTAAATTTGCGGCTATATAACCACCGGTATACGTCCCCAATTCGTCAAACACAGTACAGTTATCCCCTAAGTGACAGATATGTTGGCACTTTTCATAAGCCAGGCTTAATGGTGATTGCCAGAAGCATTGAACTTTACACTCCCAAAAATGAATTGGTTATTGTTCCAACTTCACACTGATAAAATAAACATAAATTACTATCAGTTATGCTGATTTTATATTAAAAATGAGTTAGGTGATAAAATCCAGTGAATAATTCTGAACTGAAACCATCTCAATTTAGTATCTAAAAAGTAGTCTCAAGTGATTTTACAAATATATTCCACCACTTTAATTTAGAACACATTCCTCCCACATATGTGTCAATGTAAGGTGAGTACCACATGCATGATAATAACACTTTGCACATTTCTTAACTGATAGCAGTTTCCTGACAACTGGATGATAATCCATCCAGTTGGACAAAGGATGTGGAGTTTACACATTTTCAACTTACCCTGGTATTTCTTTATATCCTGATTTATCCCTTGATAGGTTGACATCACGTTCTAAAGTGTATTCGAATAGTTCAAGTGACACATAGTTTCCTTCAGGATATATAAATAATTAAACATAATCTCTTTACTAATGGTGATGTATTTGCTGTAAGTGTCAGGTTCCGTTATAATGCCATCAAATAATTCACGCTCTATTTTCCTTGAGGCAAATCCTTCCAAAGCATCCAACCTAAATACATTGTTGATGTTTGTAATGCTTTAGCTGGAAAAGCATTGCTAAATTTGCCAAAAACGACAAAAGTGAGGATTCATTTACGTCAAACAGTTTTCTTATCAAACGTAGCTTCAATGATTTTACACAGGAAACAACCTCAACCATACCAAGCCCAACCTGCTTCACAAGCTCACACACAAAGAGTTAATCTAATCTGGTTTCCCAGTCAAAAATTACAGAACCAGGGTTAGGGAGTGTCAGAAAAAGATAATTTAATTTGTAAATGAGTAAGGCCTTGGTAATAGCAATTCCGACAAGGGGAGTAATGATTCTTTTCATCTGTCTGTTTGCCGTATATAAAGCACACCCACAACTGGAAGCCTATGTCATAACGGATGAACAAAAACTAATGGGGTGTTCGTTAATCTAAGTCATATTCTTGTGTATGGAAATATATAGCGGCATCAAAATACTGGCAGTTACATATACGTAGTGTTTACTGTGTTAGCAGATGTGTATAATATTAATGATCCATGAATGAACTACCTATCCGCTGACCACCGCGAGGCGATAGTATAGTATGGGAGCGTATCAGTGTACTGTGAAACATTTTCATCTTCTACGTAGATTATAGATACACCTGCGTCCTCAATAATCCCAACAACGAATATAGAGCTTTCACCTACGTGAAAGATACGACCATCTCCACACGTCCTATTCTCAACATGGTCCCATGATATTCGGTTGTGAAGTTGGACGCCAGGCTGAAACAGTTTAAACAAAACGTAAATGGTTGGCAGCGTGTTGGTGGTATATTTCAAAATAAACTTTTGTGTATTTTCATTGTTAACATCAATATCATATCCGCATAAGTGCAATCAAGCTATTTCCGAATGAAATACATTTGAAAAACTAAAAATATTCCATGCCCACTGAGGTCATTACGTGCACCTCACATTAATATCAGGACCTAAAAAGTCGTTGGAATCGCACCGACTTGATAAGATAAGAATATCTAATAGTATATAAACAGCTGTTAATGGACTTTGGTACCATTTACACGTTCAGCTGAACCTGCTGCTATGATTGTGAGAAATTCTTTTACTATATTTTCTGCGTAGCCGGAATCGCCGTGCCTTGTATTGCTCAGCCAACTAAGGCAGACTTATTGATAACAGCTGAACTTTCACTGTATGATGTTCGCGACCTGCAGGTCCCCAAAACA